GTCCTAACTAGCAGGTCAGTGCCTAGTCTACACCAGTGATTTGGGTCATTCTGTCCTAGGTGAAGAACTTATATTTGTCATTGATATGTTTCATGGAAGGTATTTGTTGAATATAAAGTTATTGCAAAACTTCAGTGCAAAACCAGATTGAAATTAAGGAACATCTGACAAGCCACCAACTAAGAATATCTTTTACATATAAACATCATTTCTGGCATTGTTACTGTACTATGTATGAACCCTTATCAAGGACTTGGATAACACATTGCTTAACACAATGGTAACACAGAACAAAAAACGCCACTATTCATGATCAAGAGATCATTCAACCTGAACTTCATACAGAGGATAATATATGGATTCAAAACAGCCCAGGGAGACTACCAGGAAGAAATGAGGAACCATTGGCCTCTGGAAAGGATGGCAGTCAGAGCATATGAGTGGCTAATGAGTTGTCAGGTTTTGTTGGCATAAATGCAAAAACAAGTTAAAGAAAACAATCACTTAATCCTGGGACCTTTATATGATTTTTTTTTTTTCTATTGCTGAGGTGATAAAGTATGATAAAGAGACAGAGGTATCTGTCTGAAAAATGTGCCAACTGGTGCCGCAAAGACTGGCGTCATAGACCAGTCATGCAGGAGTCAACCTTTATGTGCTGCTAGCAATGGTGACAGCAGTGCGGCTGTCAAGAGTCTTGCGCATGAAGGTGAGCTCTTACAGGTCCCATGTGAGAATCAGTGAGAAGATGTTCAGCAGTGGCATGGCATCTTGAACAGATGTCTCTGGGAAAGGCTAGCTTTGCCTAGTTTAGGGAAAATAATGTTTCATTATTTCAGATGCAGAGATGCTGAGGAAAGAAAAGGCCATAATTTAAGTTTTATGGAAAAATAAACAAACAAAACCCCAAACAAACTATAAAACTTAAGAACAATCTTCATGCAAGACATAGAAACAAAGTTATGTAGAAAAGTACAACCAAATGAGAGCCCAGAGAATTAACCTAAAATCATCCCAGTTCTGAGCTACATGTAAAACCAAGGAGACAACATGCAAGCAGGAAAAGAGTTAAAAATAATGTCTTTAGGCCTGAGCCTGCAACCTTTCTCATAAAAGTACAGTCTTGCCTCATTGGTGCCAGAACCCAAGAGGTCAACATGGATTCACATACGTGCAGGAGTTGGCAAGTACAGCCAAGTTATAGAGCAGGGAAAAAAGGCCTTTCCCTCACACTTAGTGACACACCATTATAATTCTGGAAGACTTCAAGCAAGTCAACTTCCCTATTTTTAATAAAACAACTGCTTGGAGATGAAAAAAGTATTATTTTACTATTTAACTCAAAAGGCATTGAGAAACCAGTTCATGATTCTGACCAACACTTTCATCACGTGACTTTATGGGCTCTGAAATGCTGCTGGTGATCAATGAACAGTGACCTCAAGCTTATACAAGGGTCAACAGCAAGGGAATTAGGGAAATTGCTCTGATGCAAGTAAATAAAAAAAAATTGCAAGAGGGACACTCTATGAATATGGTCACATGCTTTTAATTAGCTTGTGTTCCCTAGTAAATTATCATGGCATGACATATGAGAAATCAGTTTTTACAACCGAGTCAATGAGTGTTTTTTCAATGACAAATTAGCAAGTTCTTAGTATGTGTCTTAACACTCTAGAAAATTGCCTGAAAAATATTGTGTGTGTGTACCAATTCTACCTTTTAAGTCCTAGCACTGGTCCCATGACTTTAGTACTCGAACAACATTAAAGCCCTCTGGATTATGGAATTCTAATCATGAAAAAAAAAAAAAGCCTGTCTGGAAGACTCCAGTTAGGATGTAATTATGATGTGAAGTCACAACGGCAAAATAATTGAAATGCATGGCTGTGAGGGCCCAGCTATAATCATATAAAAATGCTTTCACTAAGCATTCACCGTCTTGATGAATATTTTGTATAACTGGAATTAGGGTTATGCTGTCTGCAAAGGCTATGTATCTACACTAGTTATAAACAATATGTACATCAATGTACTGATGAATTGCAGCCTACAATATATTTCTATTTGCAACGGGCAAGTAATATAATTTTTGTAAAATTATTGGTAAAACCACCACGTTACAATGCCTTTGATACACACTTGGAAAGAAACTGCTTATCTCTGTTCTTTCCTGCTTTTACATGCTAATCTTTTAGCATAGAATTATTTGTTTATTAATACCACAACACAGAGACTAATGTTATTAAAAAAGGAAGATACAGGGATATCCATTATGACTTCTATATTTTAGGCATGAGAATACATTGCTTGCACATCTAAGCCTTCCAAAGTTGTTTCCTTAATTTTTTCAGAGAGTATCATTTACACACACACACACACACACACACACATGAGGTATTTAACGGCATCTGTACTGAATTTTAGTTAAACATTTACAGAGTCATTCTAATATATCTCAAGACAGCATCATAAGAAGTCTAGTGACAGAGAAATCCTCAACTCTCTTCTTGACATGGATCAGGTCTTAACAGGTAGCTGCGAATCCTCCTGCTACTGTGAGGACAAAACTCCCCACTCCCAATTCCAGGCACCTCCGTAATGCTTACAGCAATTGTTTAAAGTAGACTCTATTTTTAGAAAATACAATGTATTTGCCCCCTAATTTCAATTGTATATGGAGGTGTAACAAAGAAAAAGCATTATGGCTATGTTCTCCACACTCATAACTTGTCAGTCAGAGATGTCAGGAGTACTAGAGTGTTCAGAATGTCTCAGTTATGAAAAGATCCATTTCCCAGTTTAACCTTCAATGTAAGTGGAAGGAACTGCATATATGGATCAATTAGCTACTAAATGTGTAAGCATCATGAAGCTCCCTTTCAATGTTGCATAACCTTGTTCTTTTCCTTAACCCCATACAAACTAATTACAGAGAGATTTGGTTATAACCCTTATAATTATCATATAACCCTTATATTGTTATCATCCTGGAAAACAAAGACAACTTTGACCATTCAATTTGTTGGGAGGGTGCATGAGGTAAAACAAAAAGGGGTTATCAGTAATTAAAAAGTGAGGTTGGGATCATTTTTGTTCTGGCCATAGAGAGGACGTGCAAAAATTGATTAGTTGAGTTTAAAGATGTCTTCAACTGCCAAGTACTGGGTAAAAAAAAACCACACTAAAAGCAAGCTGTGTGTACACTGCTTTTATAAAATGTATTCTGTGTTATTGTCTGCACTGACACAGTAACTTTTATCTAAAGATACTTTTTGGGTTGTTGTGGTTTCTCTTCCTTCTCTCTACTCTTTGAATTATTTATAGAGCTCGAAATGGCTATAAATAGACATGTTTATGCACCTTCTTTCAGTAGACCTGAAAACTCACAGGTCCAAGCATGACAAATCCAATGTTTATAAATTTGTGTAAACAAGCAGTACCAAACAGATTATTTGCATTCAGCCTCTTTACCCATAAAAACTCAGATAATTTAATTTCTTTTATTAGAAGTTTAGTCACTGCACTGTACAAATACATAGAGTAGTTAATTTCTAACAACAAATGATCAAATGGCGAGGAATGCCTCAAAGGACACAGCCATTTGAGAACCCAGTTCCTGTTTCCACTCACGATCCTCTGACACAGAATCATAAAGATATAAATGAGGTTGACTATGGCTCACTTTATTGAAACCTATAGAGTCAAACTGCTAGTATCAATATGTCAGGAATCCAACCTGTCATGGGCTTAATGGTCTACCAAGAAAGCTTCTGTGCTATTTCAATAGTGAAAATAGCCTTGTGTTATTTAAAATTCTGAATCTAATTGTGATGCAGTTGGTATCTTAGGGTTCTTCTAATTGAAGGAATACAGGAAAGCGAAGGAATAAAATTAGGAAACTGAGCTAAGTTAAAATAACGCTGTTGCAACAGAACCATGCACAGTAAAAATGCAGGGAACACCTTGCTAGAAGACAAAGGTTCCTAAATATTTTATGAGCAGCTCTCCTTTGCTGTAATAGCCTGGGTCCTTCAGGCCCAAGCTGCTTATCTATGCACAGATATTCCATTTTCTGCCACATCCCAAGCCTCCATGTTCCTACCTCTCCTCTTCCTCTAGAAACCATTTCTACACCGTTTCTCCTCAGCCCTGCCCCCTGAGAGCCTTGTTTTGTCTGCTGCACCCAGGCATGACCAGGGAGGGCAAGCACAGCACTGCTGCTCTCACTGAGTCACACAAGGCTGGCTCAGCCTGCCAGTTTGCCGCACCGTGGGAGGGAAAAGGCAACAGGATGAGACACAGCCCACCTCTATCAACAGAACGGACACAAAAAGCATAACCCAGGTTCATCTGCAGCCATGTGTCCTGCTGACTTCTGTACCCCCTCGACTCAAAATAAATATTGTACTTTCTGGATGGCTAGAGAACAGTCATTGGGATAAAAGGAGTGAAAGACAAAAGGAGGGGAAAAGCTAAACAGCATTTTCCCTGTATTTCCTGCATTTTCCAGATTGCTTTCCACCTCACCCTTGGGAAGGCTCCAACGCAGTCTGACAATGTTGCTGGACAGTTGCATTATCTACTCTTTATTATGTCTGTATAAATCCAGCAGAACTCCAGTGTTCCAACTGTGGTTTGGGTTTGGGTTTTGTTTGTTTGTTTGGTTGTTGTTGTTGTTGCTTTTAAATTAGTTCATCTGGATGTCTACTCTTTTATATGAGAACAAAATGTATTCTTCTCCTCTTAAGTTTATGGTGTAGTCTTCCACTTCAGTAATTTACTTACGCTTACTGACTGATAAAGAAAATAACTATCTAAAAAAAAAAATTATAATCTTCATTAAATCCGTATTAGCTGTTAATATACTTTGTGGATTGCTTATTTATATTCAATACAAACATATTTTTATATAGCCATTGATGTTGACAAATACATATTTAGGCATACTGTAAGCCACACTTGTAATAGCACAAAGACAGAGGAAAGACTTTACTTACCCAGCCATCCTGATCCAGAATTGGGTATACACATATCTGTTTCAGCACTGGGCAACACAAATCCAACTACAAAGACTTCAACCCCATCAGCCATTAGGGCCATTCCCAACACAAAGAAGAGGGCCCACTGGAAACGACCATGGCCGCATTCTTGTATTATCAATTCGTACTGCTGTGCTAGCTCTTCTTCATCAGCTTTCCTCTCTGTTTCCAGTTCATGGCGATCCTTATATTCATCACGCATAGGCTGACCTAAGGCCACTATGCCATCCTTGCCCTGCCCTATGTGGGGGATTCCCTGATACTCCCCTTCATAAATTTCATCATCTTCATCATGCCCTTCAGTTGCTTCACTTGAACCTTCATCATCATTAGCTTCTACGCCATAATTTCCTCCTTGGACATAGTAATCATCATCATCTTCCTCATCCTGGAATCGGTTGTAGGACCTCTGTGTGTAGCCATCCTGAGCTTTGTCAACAGCTTTATTCACTCTTTTCACTGCTTGCCTCTTCATCTCTTTGGCAATATCTTTTGCCCCTTTCACTAATGAAGTCCTATCTTTGTATGTTTCTTCCATCTTGTATCAAAGAAAGATTGCTGCAGAGGGATTGCTGCTGAATAGTGTTTAGAATACCTATGGCGTGTTGTACATCAATAGAAAAAGCCCAAGGACGTGTGAAGCTGTAATATTCAACCTGCAAAATATGAGAGAAAAAAGCTTATAGTTTGCTGCTTCTTAGTACTGATATGATACCATACCAATCTTCATTTAAGCACTGGACACCACAGTTCAGAACTTCAAATATACAAACCCGGATTTTCTTCAGAGATGCAAACATCCCAGGTTACAAGGAAAATACTCTGAAGAGAGATGGTTTTCAGAATGAAATTTATTACGGTCTAATCTTTCAATGGTTTTATTCTGAAAGAAAACAAGCAATTCCATGCATCATACATCACATTGACTCTGCAGTGTCCTTCCCCATTTGAACTCCCTGCTGTGTAATAAAAGGCTACAAATACTAGCTTTTCTCTCAGTGATTTACCATCAAATATCTGTCCTCTGTCCAGCCTCTCACTTACACAAACGTTGTAGGGAGTTAATATTCCTGAGATGTGTACCAGTCTCTCAAAGCTGACTGAACTTGGCCGATGCATTCGCGGTGCATTCACACTGAGTCTTAGCAATATGTAGTCCCATCCTAATAAAATCAGCACAGGGAGCTGGATGGGTGGGAGTGGTGGCACTTTCACACTTTGGAGATTTCCAATACCTAAACCATGAACAGACACATCCCTCTCTCCCCTGTCCATAGTGACAGTAGAGGCAGCCTGGAGCAACCATGTATCATCAGGTAATTCACCCCAGAGTGTGTTAATCCGCCATGAGGTCACACCAATCTAGCTGCATGAAACTACCAAAACATTTTGTCCCAGTCTCCCTCCCTGCTCCCCTGCTGTACCTTTCCATATCTTCATTTATGCAGCCCTGGGATCACAAATGCAGACACAATGAGTCAAGAGGAACTTGATTATTTGACCAAAGAATAACCATAACTATTCTCTTCTTTTCTGGCCAATTTTCAGGCAATGTGCTCATCACACATCTGCATAATCGCTAGGGGTAGCAGAAAGAAATGGCAGCAGCGTGCAAGCAGAGGGAGGGAAGAAATGCAGGAGCCGTCTTTGGCAACAGTCCATAGTTAGAACCGCTGAAATCAATTACAAAACTGCCCCATTACTCATGTGTCTAAAGTTAAGTGGAGGTGCAGCTGGGCACTGCAACAGGATTGCAGAAGCCTCACCTCTGGCAGTAAGCAGGCTAAAATTTCTGTAGCTGTGTTTCTGAGAAAACACTGTCTGCTTCCAGCTTGGGGAAAAGGTTATTTTTAAACATGAATGTCTTAATGATCTATTTTCCAGCATAACCTTGGAAAAAGCTGCAGTAGTACAACTAAGGAGGCAGTGAGATGTAATGCAGGAGTAAGAATAAATAAGAATAAATAAATGGAAATTTCTGAGGCAAATCCTATTCCCCTTGCTAAAATAGGGTGAACTGCCCCCCAAGCTCCACGGGAGACCAGGGTAGTGCTTTCAGAAGCTGTCCTTTGCTCATTCGGTTGTAAACAGTGTCCGCAGAAGTACATTCTAGACATCAATTTTAAGACTGATACTGTTTTGAGGGATAGGAAGAATTACAGACTGCATTAGATAAACTATGATGTACTTCTGATAAAAGAAAACCAACCCTAAAATGACACAGACATGCAGGTAATACGACTTAAGAAACTAAAAGATATTTCCCTAGCTTTTTTTATGACTATAGAAATTCATTTATAGTGGAAAATGTCTTTATTTTTAGTCCCTTCCTCTAGGTTAATGTCAGACACTGAATGTTTCTCAAAGAAATCAGATGTGATGGCACTATTCAACTATTCAATGCAAAGTGAAGCATTTACTGGAAGAGAAATGCAGCCTTAAAAAAAGCAGGATGTAATATTTATGACTGTAAACTGTAGCCTGATTTTAGGTACATGATGATCCTTCTAAGTAGGTCATCTTGGTGAATCTTTTATGCTAAGGCAGTTTCTGTAATTACAACTTTTCAGTTTTCAAGACGCTCCTTAGAAGTTACTCTTTGTGTACTGATCCTTACTGTTACCTGTGTGTAACTGCAGTATCTACTAGCTGTTATTGAACATTCAATGAGTAAAAACACTCACTGGGTCTGCTGTAGCTTTCTACAAATACTTTCAAGTACTTCATGAACTCCTAACAGGTACTCTTCTGAGGGTTAGTGATTACAAGGTGTTCCTAGATTTTTACCATTTTAGATTATACATCCACCCTATTTAACCTAAACTCTGAATTCCTCTAATTCTTAGATTACTGGGTTTTTTCCCAGCAAGTACGGTCTTCTTTTAGAGGATTTTTAGTTGTTAAGTTCCATTTAACTGTAGGGTATGTCTATGGGGGGGGAAGACAGCAGGAGTTCAGGAACACTGAATGAACATAAAGTCTAAATGCCAACACTAGCAAACCTCTGCTTTGCACTCCTATATTACACCTACCTGATGAGTCCAGCAGACTCTAAAAACATAGATCTGCAAAAGCAACTGAGTTTACACTGTAGTTTGTGATAGACCAGGTATGTCAATAAGGAATTACACCTGTTTAAACTCATTAACAGCAAAACTCTGACAGCAAAAACCTGCACATAGACCAAGTCAAATTTCTGTCTGAGTAGACAGAAATATGTACTGAGTATGAAATCGGAAATTTCTCTTTATCTTGCCTAAGTTTCCTAGCAGCACACCTAATAACACTGTCCTTTTAAACAGCTTTGCTTTGTCAATGAACTGAAATCCCTGCCTTAAGGGTGATAAGTACAAAGAGGAATTATTTACAGCCCATGCATGATAGCTTCCCACCCTTTTAATTATGTTGGACTGATTGACTACAAGTAAGTAACTGAAAGTCTGAAAGAGTGATGACTAATGACTACCTGAGTAGCATAAAGCAGCAAAAGCACAGATGATGGTCTAACCATATACTCCTGTTTGTACCCAACAAGCCTGTTCACATTCACTAAACTAAACAACACATTGCTATTCAATTCCTTCAATTAGAAAAAAATCTCAGGAAAATAATTATTTCACCTGAAATAAAAATACTATTTCAAGAAATACTTACAAATTTTTTTTCCCAAAACACTCAGAGATGCACGCACAAAAAAAATATTAAAGTATTTCTTTGCTCTAATGTTTATTCTTTTCCATTCTATTATATTCACAACTTTCAGTGTAGTTACCACTCTGTACATATTGTCCTACATTTGAAATAAAGGTCAGACATTACAAACTAAATCAGTGAGGTGCCATGAAGATGTAAATCTATGAGATGTCGGAAAACCCATTCCCACAAAGACTCACACCTTTGCTTAACGTAAGCTGTGAGAAGACCCCCTGAAGACTATCAACACATGATATAAACTATATGTATATCTTCAGATAATAAAATTTTCAGAACAGGAAGTCACACTCAAAGGGAGTTACAGCATTTCAGATACACTTGGGGACCTAGTATAGCATCTTTCCTGCTTTTGAATCTGTAATTCCTTTTCAAAGAAAAAGAAAATACTGAAGAACATTTCTTATTTAAGGTGATGCCTTTTCAAATGCACATTTTACACAACATTTTGATTCTCATTTGATTTCTGTTTTTCTACATCTGCTTTTTGTTATCAATGACCTTTGCATGGATACAAGTGTTTTGTTTCTTCTGAGTTTATCTGTTGCTCCAAGTTAGTCTTCTGAAGGTATAATCTTCTTTTAGATCATAACTGCTTCCAAATATATTACTCTGATATGTCAAATGATTTTATTTCTAGGTGAAATATAGGCATCTGAACTATGTAAACTCACAAACAGAAGATGCTTTTTACTTGCATGTGCTGTCAGCTATAAAAAAAGGGTAAGAAAAAAAGGGAAAGTATTGTGCATTTACGCTGGTCGGGCCACACACTCTCAACAGCTGCAGCAAAAAATAAACCTCTTCTCTCTCTCTCTCTCTCGCTCTCTCTCTCTCCCTCCCCGGCAAAAGTCAGTTCCTGGAATTTTAACACTTGTCCTTCAGTGCTTCCCACTCCAAAGGTCCCAGGTGAACTCACCCATTGCGGGCAGCTGGAAGTTTGGAGCCAAGAGAATCCGAAGGTGGCAGCCTAGGGTCCCATCTGGGTCGCCAGACTGTTAAAGGAGTAGCTGCTGCCCGAGCATTCACACACCATTCATGGTGCCACACACACACACTTATTCTTGGGTGTGCTTCAGGCTCAATGCTAGGTTTCCTGCAGCAGAGTCTCAGGTGTCAGATTTATAAAATAATTTAATTGAAAGCTGCAGCAGCAGGATCAGCCCGGGCTGGGTGCCTCCAAAGAGAGGAACCCAGAACAAAGAACTCCTGGGGCAATTACACCCTTGGGTCCGATACACCCACCCCTCATGTGCCCTTCACGTGCTGTCCATGTGTCCTTTAGTGCAATGGTGGTTTTTGTTCTGGTGTCTTCAAACATCTAATTGGATTCTTCTTCTGTGCCCAGGCAGGCAGGCTCTTATCTTGTTGACTTGCAGTTTATCTTGTTGACTTGCAGTTTCCGCCGAAGGTTGAAGCCTCCTTATCTTCTGGTTTAGACTCCTGGTGCACCTGCCCACGCTGGTGGAACATGGAGAGCTCAAGATCCCCAGTCTTGGGAAAAGCACTATGCAGACATCAGTGTGATATCAAAATATTTTCCCATACTCAAAGACTAAACACAGCTCTGTACTGGCTCTTAGAAAAACTGCTAGGAAAATTACTGAGAAAAATACCTCTATCATGGCCTAAAGGCTTCACCAAATCTAGCCACTTATGCTAAGTAAAGCTAAGCAGACAGCACAAATCTCACCCTATTATAATCCTAAGTAATTTATTCTAATTAAAGCTTACTTAGTTACGCTAAACAACTAATATCCTTCAACAATGACAAAGACAATGGTATTCAAATTTTATTAAAGTTCTCCAACAATTTTTACATGGGAC